GTCCCAAATACCCAGTGCCGATACCCTGCGACTGCTCGTGTTCCTGGAAGGGAGCTCGGAATGCTCGAAGGGCCCTTACCGTGCGAGTCAAGTCTTGGAGCGGCTGTAACTCAAACCAAAGACCTTTATCCTGGGTAAGCACTAAAGAAAACCAAACTGTACCTACAGAGGAATCGGGGCAAAGAGCCCCCTCGCAGGGACACAGGAGCCGGCCTCCCGCCATCCCGGAAAGGTTCCTCCGGCAGCCATGGTGCGGGTGACGCACGCCGCCGAGCTGCGTCTCTGGGAGCCGCCCTACCCTGCTCCTCGGGGCAAAACGGGCAGCAGGGCCAATCTGCTCCAGCCACGGCCCCCCTTGGCCCCCGCGCACTGCGCACCCTCCTGCGGCGCCTCGTCCCCTGCGTGACTTGCTGCCCTTGCCAGCGATGGGGTGAAAAGTGAGTACCAAGGAGGTCACGATGTGGTGAACTTGTCCTGTCGCCCTCCTCCAGAACCCTGCCGCGTGCATCGGCGCTGGCCTGCCTGTGGAACCTCCCCATGCTTAGAAGTCTGTGTTATGGTAAGGTTTTGTATTTATACATTGATATATTTATTTAAATACTCTTTAATATTTACAGTGGCCGTCTCTGCTAAAAATTGTTACACGTACGATCAGAAAAAGGGTGAAACATAAATAGAGTAAGGTGACGTGAAGGGTGAGAGATCACAAAAGCAAGGGTGTTAGAGTTTAGGCTTCCAGGGTGGGCTGCTCCAGCTCTCTGTCTACTGCAGAAGTCCCCTAAATTCTTTTCATGGGAAACCACGTTGTCTACATGGAAAACTTATCATAATGGACATACAATTAAATCCTAACCTGAATTAGTTGTAAGAAAATAAAAGTACATACTACTGCTACGAGTATTAACTACTTACTGTATATAGCGCCTTTAATTTGAAGATCTGAAAGTGCTTATAAATAATGAACTAACCCCCCCTGCGAGGTAGGTAAGTATTATTATCCCTATTTTACAGATGGGGAAACTGAGGCATTAGAGAGGCTAAGTGACTTGCCCAAGGTCACAGGTGAGTCAGTGGCAGAGCTGGGACGAGACATCCAGTCCTGTTCTCTAATCCTGCGCTCTAACCGCTGTGCATGCTTCCTCTGGAGGGACCACATATACAAATACTTGAGTATTTACATATATACCAGTAAGTGAATAATATACAAATGCAGTTATCCAAATAATCTGCAGAGATATGTCAGTTAATTTCTTGTTTCTGAAACAACTTGTTTAATCTCTGCCCTGAGTACAAACACCTCCTAGCTCTGTATGATAGTCTTAACCCTGGATGTTATTTGTTGACATTTTACTTGGTGATGGTTTGTAGGTGTGCTGCTTTAAAAAGCCGGGTGAAAATGGCACCGGGGGTGGGAGGCGAGAAAGAAAGTAACTTGAAGAGCAAGAAACCTAAAGCAAGGGCAAGGGGTCAAGATCTCTCCTATTCCTAATTCCAAATTCCTTGCATATGTGTAAGGATTATTACTGAAGCCCACAGAATAAAGGCCAGGTGTGTACCAGTTGGAGCACAGCTGTGCATCTTGAACCCAAGCCAAGGAAAAGTTCTAACTCCTCACAGGAGAAGTTCGAAGCATCCCATCAGCTCCTACCCTGGTCGCTTGCACAGACAGCAGAGGGGCAGTTCACGGATTTCTCTGGAGGAAAGAATAACTTTCACTAAAAGACGTTTTCTTTTTGAGCAATTGAAAATGGAAAAATGCTACTGAAATCCCACATACTGTGACTGCAAGTGAATTAAGAAAGAACAGGTTTTGCTTATCAAATATATTTTTCACAAGATACTGTAATTTCCCTCCCCTGAAGCTCCTGTTTGAGAGTAATAATAATAATTCACCAGCTGCTATAAAGTCTATTGCTACCAAAGGGGATGCATAGATGCAATCAAACAGAATTTTGCCTTTTGGGGGACCAATTTGACGGTTTTGCAAACTCCTGGACACATGTATTAATCGCAGCCAAATCAAATATTTGTGTTAAATTCCAAAGTCAGCTCAAACTAGCTCATAGCTGGGAGCTAGGAACTATCTGAGTCATGAAACAAATCCCCCGGGAGCCCCAGCCAAGCAGCCATGTGACGTACCTCTCGCCTTTAACGTCGCATTATCGAGACGTTTGCAGACTGCGTTATCCATCATGCCACTCCAGTGTGGCAGGTCCTGCCCCTGCCCTTTCAGGACACAGCAGGGGGATGTGACTTGCACAGTTTGCACAGAAGGGATTTGCCTGGTGTCATTTTTATGTTTTTTTTTTTTGGGGGGGGGGGGGGGGCACCACTGCAGAGTTAATCGCGTTTCATTTTGTTATTTGTACCTGTTGAAGCAGTGCTCTGCATTTGAATGACACGATACGATCTTCGGCAGTAGCGGCGTGCTTGCTTTCGTGGAAAACTTAAAATCCTTCCTACTGTCCAAGGATATGAACCCTGCTTCTCTCCCAGCCTCGAACTCGGTTGATTTAATCTGCATAACCATACTTGAATTCCTTTCATTCTTACTCGCTACACAGGAAATACCATAAAGATTTGCTGGCCCCATGTCAAGTAGAGTTCATAAACTGCAGTGTGGTTAGGTGAGGCAGAAAATGATTCAACTCCTTTCCTTCATCCCCCTGTAGCAGCTCTTGCTAATATTCATCCTTCCAGAAAAGGGCTCACTTTGGTTTATTAAACTGTAGGGCTTTTATTGTGAGCTGCTTTGAGAATTGCTTTCAGTTGGCTCGGACTGCAGCTCTCGCGTATCGATGGATTTGCCTCTTAAAGACAGGGATGCTGGATTTCTTCACGAACGATCAGCAAGCTGCTCCTGACCCACAGGCTTTACAAGTCTCCTTGTGTAGTGCCAATGTCAGCTTGCTCAGCCTTTCATAAAGGAAGAGGAGATGCAGTTTTCAAAGACAACTCTAACCCTGCAATTAGTATGAAAGCCTGAAATCAAAAACACTTTTCACTCTGCCTTAACTAACACAGCTTAAATATTTTGGGATTTATCCTGCATGCTGGTAACAAGACTGGTGTCTTGTTATAAGACAAGGAATACAGAAGCATTTTGGAGCCTCTCCTCCTAGTTGCTCACTTTTCTTGACACCAGAGCTGGCCTAGAGCCATGGGTCTCCACCTTGAGGTCTGTGTTGAAGACCTCCCATGAGTGCGGTGTGTTGGCATCTGCAACTCTGCTACAGGAGCTGGCTGCATCGTTCACGTTTCTTTCTTGATGGAGGTGTGCTCCATCACGACCTTTAGGTAATGCTGTATAGGTGCCCGCAGGGGAAACCCAGCGAGGTCGTTTTCCTTAACAAGGGAGCCAGGTTTAAAACTCAGGCAGAGCATCCAGCTGCCGGCATCCCAGCACCTCTTCTGTGTGGGGCTGCTGTGGTGAGAAATCCCTCTCACCCGACCCGCTGTCCTGCCTGCCCCTTGCTGGTAAAATCTGACCAGTGCCAATGGTAGGTGTGGATTTTCCAGCACGATGCTTCTACAAATGGGATTCACAACCCAGTTCACAGAAGAGGTGATTTTGGCAACCACCCTTGGGATATGCTCCAGCTCACGTAGCCCACGGGAGGGCCATTTCTGAGCTCCTGGTCAGGGCTTGCTTCCTCCAAGAAAGCAGCTGACTAATAACAGCTCTGGAGTGGTGATAAGTGGTGCCAATCATCTGTGTTTCTTAGCAACACCGCAGAAGAAAGTTCAAGTATCACATTGTTTAAAAAAAAAAAAAAAATCCCTGTTAAAAATTCAACCATTTTGCCCTTGATGGGGTTGTCTTCTCCCCTCTCTGATGCTCCTTAGGACAAACCTAGGCCCTGTCCAACCACTATAGAATAAAAGACATCTACTGCTGCACTCCTTTTTGTTGCACCTTAGAATAGGAACTGCAGAGACTTTCCAGGCTGCCAGCTGCAGTCTGAGCTGCGATTGCTTAGGTTGCTTTTCGGAAATGCAGCTCACAGGCCCAGGGAATACAATCTCTCTTGACACTGGCCATATACCAGGAGGATGGTTTTCTTCCTAAAGCCTGACATCCATCAGAGACGCAGCAAAAAGCAAAGGCAGCAGTGGATGTAAGATTAGGAATTTAAAAAAAATCAGATATAGCTCGAGGGGTGGGCTGTAAGGGCAAGGCTCAGGGCTGGGTTTTGGTTCAGCCCATTAGGAAATATGGGAACCACACTGAGGTTTGTGTTTCGAGCAGCCACAGCTGCTTTGGGGTCAGTTCATCTGCACAGAAGCTGGTAGCAAGGCCATTGCCAGCCTAATTCAAAGGTTATTCTGCTCCCTACAGGGGGAATTTCTTACGGGAATTGGGTAAATAAGCTAATCGTAACAGGCTCTAGCTGGATGATCAAAGGGGTCTCTTATTCAGTAACAATTTTACAGTATTAATATAATAACCTGAAAAAACACACACAACTGAAAGAATCAGAGGTCATATTGCTTAAAGAAAACAAAAGCCAGTCATAACCTGAAACCCTTTCTAAAATGATTTTTAAATATGATTCTCAGCCTCCTGCTAAGCCACTGCTCACCAGCTGGTTGCGTTGAGGAGGAAAATGGAGCAGGACACAGAGCCGATCGAGTTGGGTAGCAGCAGCGATGACCCAGCGGCGGGGGGACAACAGTGAGAGCACTGGAGAAATCCTTTACTCGGCCACCAGCGTGTCTGAAGTCTGTGGGGTTTGAAGACGAAGACTGCATCCGAAGGGACTCCTGTGGTTTATAGTGACCTTACAAATGGTGAAACCTTTAGTTTAGTATTTGTCAGTGTAAAAAAAGTAAATCAGAAAAGGTGCAAATGGCTATAAAATAGGCTAACATAGGTAGGTATACACTTTTTTTTTTTCACCTGTGGACAGAAAGGAAATAGTAATGCTGAATCAGATGAGAGCAAACAATTACAACAAATAACTGGCTAAGTTTTCCAGCAGGTGTTAAGCTAGCTGTACTTATAGCCGAGTTGTAACGTGATCATCCTGCCCGTCTTTCCACTGGTTTATAAACAAGTCACAAGCCTCTCCCCATGAATCAAACACATCCTCTGACGAGTCTATAAGTTTGGAGTTAGAGGAACAAATACTGGAAGCACAGTGAAGGGAGCTGGTACAAACCACAGGGCACTCCTTGCTCTGTCCTGTAAGTCTTGTGTTCCCACTGTAGTCCACCTCATTGAGGTTAATTTCACTTTTGGAACAATTCTCTTCTCTCTCTTTATCAATCTGAGAATATCTAATGTCTTTCCACATGTAGTGTGGCTGAATAATTCCATCTGAAATAGTGTACATGGGTTCTGAGTTTGGTTCGGGAACGTGTCCATTCATCTTGGAGAAAAGCAGGCCCAGTCTCTTAAAGGACTCCTTCTTGGAGCTGGAAAGTCTCTGAACTCTGTTTCCATTTCGGACAAAGGAGCGCTTACTGATCCCGTTGCTTTTTGGCTTCTCTTCCACCATACTGATCCCAGACATAGTTTTAATTAGAGCAGATACATTGAAGTCCTTTTTTTTGTTGGCTACATTGAAAGACACGCTCTTGGCTTTGGATTTTTCTCCAGCGCCATCCTCATTTGTTTCATCCTTTTGGGACACCTCTGTGCTGCTGGTAGAATAACTTCTCCTCTGGGGCTTCCTATTTCCTAAGAGGTCAAGAACTTCATAGCGAAAACTTGAGATGTCCTGTTTTAATTCCTAGGGCAAGAGGAGAAATGAGTTTTATATTCAGCAGCTTTATCTGTAACATGAAAGAATGCTCACGGCCCCTTGGGAGAGCTGTTCAGAGTTATGCAAATGGCTGAGACCAAATCAGACTTACCAGAAGACCACATACATCTTCATTCATTATTCAGTGACGCAAAAAAAGTTATATGCATTGGTAAGCCTGAGAATTGGAGACCTCACAAGATCTTTGTCTCCAAAGGCTGTGGACTGGCCCTCTTCACCAGCCCCCTCTGCTCAGCCCATGATCCCTCCCCCTGCCCCCAAAAAAGGTCAAATAAGACAGTTACAGAAGAGGGGAAATGCTGCTGAAATTTAGAAATATGCCAGGAATTCTGTTTAGCTGGTAGGCCCAACTGTAACTTTTCTGGTAGGTGTTCTTCCTATCCATTAACCCAGGCTCATTCTTCAGGTCTGGGTTAGGATTAGGAATGTGATGTGGACTCAAATCAGATCCTTCATTCCTACCACTTTCCAACACTTTTGTCCACATATCATATTGTACATTAAAACCTGGGAGGTGATCATATGAGAAGACACTCAAATAATAATATTCTCTGCTCAAAAAAACCCCTACATGTATATCATCTATATTCCCAGCTCCAATCATAGTCCTATTTCCACAGCAGATTACAAATCACCTTAACAAGTTAGCGCAAACCCTGCAAGTGGCTACTTGAATTAATATAATAAATTATTATCAGAGAATAATAAATTACCTTGAAATTTTCTTCAGTTAAACCTTCGTTGGTTTTGGAAGTTCTTATCATTGCTGCGACGTATCTCTTCACAAGATTTCTTATAACTTCCTGCAACAGGAAACGATAGGAGTGATTGAACTGCTGGCTCAGACCAACCTCTGTTCTTACTGCGTTTCACTGAGCTCTTACTGACAGCGGCTGTCCTGACTCTGCTGTCTAAAAAGAAAATCACTTGCCATTAGAAACAGAATGCTTTCTTTTAAACAAACCTCTGGAAAAGGTTTTATACCTTCCATCTTGAATGCTTGCTTGTTAGCTACTGGGACCAGGTATTTTGTATTTGTTTTGTATGTGTAAAAGTTGTTGAGAAAAAATTCTTCATGTTCTTAAACGTCCTCAAGCCATTTAATCTCAGCTGCTGAAAGTTTTTAAGATCACCGATCTCGTGTGCATATGCTCTGTATCCTGATAGGCGAAGCTTGCCATTTGAAGATTGTTTATCAAGTATGTGAAGGCCAGGGAGGGTATGTTGACAACAAATCACCTGAAGAACAGCCAGGTCCCCATGGGGCCACGCACATTCACGTGAAACCACATCTGCCAGCTGCCTGGGCGTTCCGTGATGGCAGGTTAGGAGCTCCTTCCAAGGCTGCCATGGTGTCTGGAGGATGGAATCCCCACCTCCTGACTTCTTTAAGGGCTCTCGCTCCCCTGTGTTACCTGGGCTGTTTGTTACAGTACGAATTTTTGGTAGGATGAGATCCATTTTGCTCTCTGCTCATATACCTCCTTGCTGGCTTTACAGAAGCAAACTGGTCCTTTGAGCTTGTACGTTTATCTGTGCTGGCCACCGCACACAGAGGTTGATTTCTACATACAAAAGAGACCAATCCCAACCTTCCCTTCATTTCCCCCATTTCATAAATGGGGATAACAAGTCTGAGCAACACCAAGCGTGAAGATGGTCTCCACCCCAAGGTTTTACCGGGACGTTTTCTAAGAGATCCCACTGTTGGTACCTGTAAGCTATGCTGTGAAGTCAGAAAGTACCAGATGTCTGTTGTCAAAGGTGACTAATTATGTTAAACATCAGCTTCAGATAAAAATACTCTTCAAAAAACAGGAGATGTCTTAAGAAAGACAAATTACTAATGGCTTTTGACAATACAGCCTAACATACCACCTAACATTCAGGAGAAAATTTTTCCTTCCATCATGCTGGCATAATACATCACACTGAATTCAAGTACTGAAGCTGGTGTTTTTAATACAGTTTCATCCTTTTGTAGGTTGACTTTAATGAGTACTTGGTGACAGGCAGGCTCAGAATAAACAAAACCAGCAAAATTCAACAAAGGAACCATTCCTCCCTCCTGAGCTGTCCAAAACAAAAGAAAATCCCAACCACTCTTTGAGCTAGGGACGCTTTACAAAAAAGAGCAGGAGAGGAACAATTCAAGAGTGTGTAAAAATGCTGCAGAAACAGTTTGATCAGGATGGTGTGACAGCCAGGTCCCTCTGATGGCAGTGGGGATGTCACCTTTGACTTCAGCAGCCAGACTGATAGCCAGCAAGTTTTCCACCACTTCAGAGGGAGCGAAAGGCTAGGAGTGATTTACTGAACCATCCCACCTCTAACGAGGGAATGTTTTAATCCATGATAAGCAAAATCCTCTTAGAGGACCTACGCTTCTCAAAATTTATTCTAGAAGCAAGAATCGTGGTATTAGAAACTGAGCAGGAAGAAGAAACAGCAAGTAAAAACTTTAGGTGCTCAAGAGTTTACCTGGTAATGTTGATTCTGAATCAGGTTGTCAGCGTGCCGTTCCTGGAAAGAGAAAGGCACAGATGTGTTACCAGTTCAGTCCTCTTTAGAGCTCCTGATGGCTCTTGGCAAGTTAAGATCCAGCAACCTTCTACCGCACCGGCAGTGGCCCTTGCGATCCTGAACGTGCACAAGCACCCTTGGAAAAAATGAAGTATAAAACCACACAGCTCCTTACTGTGAACGTTTTGAGGTTTTCGTGCCTCTTCTGTTCGTTGTCGGAGTCGTTGCCTGGGCACAGCTGGTTGTGAATCCACTTGCAAAGGTACCAGACTGACTTGGGACTTGGGACAATGTTAAAAGGAGGGGGCAGAGTGGCACCTTCATCAAAGTAACTCATCCAGAGCTTCGTCCGTGCAAATTTCCACTCAATATCCGCATGGTCCTAGGAGAGAAGGAAAGAGGCTGTTAACAGCTTCGGGCAGGCTTTCCTGGTGCAAATGCCCGTGGCTGAGGAGGTGACACGTGAGCGATAAAGCATTTCTCCAGCTGCAGGCAAAGCAGCATCGCTTCTTCCATCTCCCTCGCTGGGGTGTACTTAAAAAAAAAATAAATCAGCGTGAAATGTAGCTAGAGTGTAAAAATACCAACCCCTGAGAAGTGAGATGACAGCAATATTCAGCGAAGAACTTCACATACTAAAGCCTGGCTTTGTCCTTTAGAGGTTGTGCTTATTAGTCCGCCAATAAAAGAAGCAAGAGAACATACATTTTGCTTTTTGCTAGCACTTTTATTATCACAAATGTTGTTTCTTGTGTCCAAATCCAATGAATTCTCACATTCTTTCCTGGAAGAAGATCTTTCATTGTGGTTTTTGACTTGTTTGGTTTTTATAGCATCCATTAATTCAGCTCTTATAACGAAGTGACACGTTTTATGCGTGCCATATTTTAAATCTTGCCTCTGCATTATCCTTACACAAAACGGGAGACATTTACTGTTTGCTTGGGTTTGTTTGGGTTTTTTTTCGTTTATATTATTAGCATATTATATCATGCTAGCTTGCTGTGCTCTAGTGTTTTTCATCCCAATGAAGTTAAGGTGGAACATTACTAGCACCCTTTTACAGCAGCACAGGTAGGCACACGCTCCGTACCGTCCCCAGAGAAGGAACACTGAGCCTATGCAGGATGCTGATGTTACAGACTGCAAAATGGTGATCCCCAAATCAAGCCATTCGCCATCTAATCCAGGGAGTCAACAGCGTCCTGCCCAGTAACAAACTGCGTATTCCCTTCGACGTCGGGGCAGAGACATCTACCTACAGCCTGGATTCAGAGAGATACTGCAGCTATTCAAAAGGGATTTCAGGCTGTCTCGTGCTAGTTTTAAAGTTAAAAAAATGCCACTATTCTGCATAAATTCTGATGTTAAGACAAAAAAAAAGGAAGGAAATAGTTTAAAGCCTTCAAGCCAAGTAGTGGTGAACACAGCTTGCAGCAGTACGCTGAATTTAAATGGTAAATTTGTGTGTTGTTATCGTTGCAGAGAATAGTGCTAAGCTGATGGTTATGACATTTTAGCTGTTCAGCATTTATGTTAACGGTACCTGACATGAGATTAAACCAAAGCCGTGATGATCGAGGCTAAGAGCGCAAGGTAGGACAAAAGGACAATGTGGGATTTTAAGTTTCTGAGATTTCCATCAGGTTGGAGCAAGGAGCCCTCTCGAGTGAGGGATGCTGGGCTGAAGCTCTCAGAAACAAGCAGTGAAGTGTAGAATGGGGGCTTTGATAGAATACTGCTGAACATCATGCCCAAAAAATTGCTACCCTGGCTTTCTGGCTCCGCTCAGTGCTGTGACATGAGTGAAGCATGCTCACATTTCGACAGCGAGGGTCAGCTGAACTCCATTTTAGTAGTGTATTCAAATTATGTGTGGCTCTCGATTTAAAACAACGGCCTCGGTGGCCCAGGAGCACATTAGTCTCTGCAGATGGTCTGAATCGGCCCCTGCCAGCTTACCGAAAGGGCTGTTTTCAACCCATAGATAGCACCAGAGAAGCAGCCTGCCATGCCCCTTCTTGCCTCAAACGTTATCAGACCCCGTAAGCAGGGAAGCTGCAGCATCGCCTTGGAAGCATTAGAAGCTGATGCTGATGGAAATGAAGTTCTGGATAGTAAAAAATGCAGTTTGCAGCAGTAGAAATAATTGCCACCAAAAAAAATATAGTTCTGCTCATTTTTTCTTCATTTGTCTCTACCTGCAGGCTGTGGCAAGCTCAGCAGAGCAGGCCAAGCTGGTGCCACGAAGCTGCTGTTCCTCCTTCCCAGGCTCTGAGCTCCACAACCAGCCCACAGGACGACTCCTGCCTAATAACTGCTCAGGGTTAGAGGCAGAGCTGGTTGCTGCTCAATCCTAAAGGCGTATGCATGCCTGTCTGTCTACCTGAACATTTCCTGGTCTGGGCAACTTCAGCCAAAAGAGTTTTCAGAAGGTGGCTAACAAACGACTGGCACCATGCGCAGGTGAGCCGAGGGGCAGCTGGGGAGGGCGTCCTGCCCGCGGGGAAGGCAGGAGGTCAGATCTCCCTTGGCAGAAGGGGCCCGAGCTGCAGCTCCCCATGTTCCACCCGGACACACTCGCTACCAGGTAAAACCCAACGGTGGCTGCGTCTTGAAAGGCTGCAGCCAAGCGGCGCGTTGCTGGTTCAAGCACCTAAAGCGTTTTGCAGGGGAAAGCTGCGTGAGACCAGCGCTGAGTTACTCAGCCCTGCTGTGAGCAAGCCTTTCTCAGGGTGTGCAGAACTACGGACACCTGGCAACACTGACAGCACTACCTGGGGCACCTGGAGAGCTTAGGGTGACACAGGAGCTGAAGGAGAGTGCAAAGACTTATTTTGGATAGAGACATACATATTTTAAGTTCTTTGTCAATACAGAAGTAGGTGTAAATGTCCTGTTGAGGAGCCAGAAGGGAGAAGGTAGTTTGGAGAAGGTTATAAATCACCCTTTCCTTTTACAAAGGTCCATCAGAGGCCCAGTGTCAGAGGTGGGAATCAGGTGTGGTGACTTGGTAGCAATTTCCTTCAGTGCATTATAAAAAAAGCACCTCCTGGGCAGAGGGGATTTAGTGCTGGATGCTGTTTGTGGAGGAGGAGGATGAGAAGGCAAGTCAAGTCTGTATCTTTGGGATTGCAGGTTAGTTTCTAGGAAAGGGGGGGAAAAAAAAGTTTTTCTGCAGAGTGCTTTTTCTTTTTTGTTCTTTCATTTTAAGATGGCTTAAGAGGGCTACGTGGGCTTGGTTAGGGGCCAAATGCAAAATGCAAGTGAATGGGAAGTGCTGTGAAACTTAGGGGGAGTTTCTTATTGGGGAAGTTCTGTGGCTGGTCTGAACAAATCCCCGTTGATCTAAATGGGGCTGTGGATGCTGGTGGGTGCTGGCTTCAGCCCCCATCTGTATTTGCTCTTTGTGGTCTCGGTCAACAAGCGCAATATAACCTCTCTTGAAAGACAGACCCTCTGTACAAAGCTCAAACTATCTTTTCTTTTGCTTTCTCTCATTGCTGCTGTTGTGAATTCCCCAGGGTTTACAAACTCAGCCTGTCTCAATTATTCACCTTGATGTCTTGACAACCTGAGCAAATCAAATGAGAGCTCCTGGCAGCAGTTTTGTGTTGGAAATATATAGCAGAGAGACATTTCAATTTTACTGAGAATGCCTCTGTGTGCCAGGAAACCACCATTTTATTGGTCGGAGCTCTCTCTGGTCAGAGCTCTCTTTAGTGCCGTAAGCAGTGAAATCTGCACAGAAAAACTAAAGCTTTCCTAACTTTCCTCCCTGTGTTGATGTCGAGGTTTAACCTCAGCTGGCAACAAGGCACCACCCAGCCACTCGCTTGCTCCCCCACAGTGGGAAGGAAGAGAGAATCAGAAGGGTAAAAGTGAGAAAACTCACGGGCTGAGATAAAGACTGTTCAACAGGTAAAGCAAAAGCCGCGCACGCAAGCAAAGCAAAACAAGGGATTCATTCCCTCCTTCCCCCCAGCAGGCGGGTGCTCAGCCATCCCCAGGGCAGCAGGGCTCCATCACGTGTAATGGTGACTTGGGAAGGCAAACGCCATCACTCTGAATGTCCCTTCCTCCTTCTTTCCCCAGCTTTATGTGCTGAGCATGGTGTCATACGGTGTGGGATACCCCTGGGGTCAGTTGGGGTCAGCTGTCCCGGCCATGTCCCCTCCCAGCTCCTTGTGCCCCCCCAGCCCCTCGCGGGTGGGGTGGGGTGAGAGGCAGAAAAGGCCTTGGCTCTGTGTCAGCCCTGCTCAGCAGTAAGGAAACCATCCCCACGTGATCAACACTGTGTCCAGCACAAATCTAAACCACAGCCCCATACCAGCTGCTATGGAAAAAATTAACTCTACCCCAGCTTGTACCAGCACAGTTCAGTACCAAGAGTACCACGCTTCAGCAATCATTCAAAATCCAATCCAAACCTGAAGCACTCGTGAGTTACAGCCATTGTAACTCAGCATCAGCCCACCGTCATCATTGTGCTGGCTGTGAACATGGCCCAGTGGAGCACCAGATGTCCTCCAGGTTTTTGGTGCATCTCCCCAGTGACTGAAGGCCACTGGGCAAGATTTAAATTTCTGAGAGCTGCCCAAGTCTGAGCCTGCTTTGCATCAAAGCTGTCGGGAAGGTTGCACGTAGGTGAATGCTTAAAGCCAGCTCCTGAACACCAATACAGTGAGGAGAGTCCAACCCGAGGGCCCTTCCCTTGCTCAGCCTGGGCCTGGCCACTGCAGACCCCATGCCATGTAGTGATGGACAAGCCCAGGCCACCTGCGGTGCTGCACTAGCTGCTGCCTTACAGAGATGGCTCACAGGAGATGGCACATTGGAGCCTGCTCCTGGGGCCAGTCAGCACAGACGTAGCCCCAGGAGGCTTCAGCAGATGAGGGAGGATGGGAGGAAGCCTGGGTGCTCTGCCCCTGCACAGGGAGCGCTGGCAGAGGGCAGGTGCCGAGGGGAGCTCGGCAGTGCAAGGTTGTGCCCCGTGGCAAGGGGCTTCGAGCAGACCCCCTGCGCAGCGAGGATGGGATCCTCGCAGACCTGCACCGCCTCGGACAGTGTTCTTAGATGACAACTTTTTGGTAACATTTATAATAAGCTAAAGAAATGTATCCACTAGCTTTGCAAGGCTGACCTTGTTGCTTTAGGAATTTAAATCCAAGTTTGGACTTCACTGTCCTCCCTTTGAGCTCCTGTTGCTCTTGCCCTTGTTCTTGTCACCATTTTCTTTCAAGCACTGCTTGTCATTTCAGCTATAAAACACTCTACTTCTAAGAGGGCTGAGCCCTCAAGCTCAAAGAACACCGTGAACTCAAAGAAACCAGCACTTGGCTTCTCTATGAGGAAAAAAAAAAAACCCACTATCACTTACTA